AAGAGTGAATTTCCTTTCATTGGGTTAACGCCCTCCAAAAGTTATGATTTTTCACCAAAATGGATTATCAATTCATGTTTTATTTATATTCTTCCTTTATTCTGTCTGTTTCACATTCTACTTGTCACACACCTTGTTTCAAAATTGCGTCTGACATCTTGTTACCCATAGAAACTTAACTAATCTAATGAGAACTTAAAGTGATTATCCAATGGGGTACTCACAACCTTCAAATTATGTAAGTCAAATTTTTATAGCAATTTTTCAACATAACTTTTCTAAGATAGCCATAACTTTTTAGCATTCTTATTCCTGTGAATTTCCATCCCAAGAATCTTTTTAGTATCACATAACTTATTCATACTATAATCATTTTCCAACTAGATTTTCAGTTCATTTACATCATATAAGTGATTAGTAATTATCAACATGTCATCCACATAAAGTAACAAGAAAATAAAAGGATTGTCATCAAAGTTTCTAACATAAACACAACAGTCATACTCACACGTATTATAGCCAATTTGAAGAATACACAGATCAAATTGCTTGTACCACTCTATTGGAGATACTTTAAAACATACAAAGACATATTCAACTTATAAACTAACATGTCTTTCCGAGTATCACTGAAACCCTTTGCATTGTCTACGTAAATCCACTCATCTATATTATTGTGAAGAAATGTTGCCTTCACATCCATTAACTTTAAATGCATGTCTTGTCTGGCTACCAAATCTAACATCCCGTGATAAAACTACGTCTGGTGAATAGAGAGAAAATCTTGTCATAGTCATTCCTCTTCTATTGTGAGTACCTCTTTTCTACAAGACGAACCTTGAGCTTTTACCTTTTATTCCCTCTGTTATTGCTAGTTTTCTCTCGTAACTCCACTTGCAATCGATAACCTTTTTCCCCTTAGGAAGCTGAATAAACTCCTATGTCTATTTTTTCTTCAAGGACTTCATCTCTTCCACCGTGACACTCATCCAGTTATTTTTCTACTAGATAGTTATAGCCATTCCAAAGGTGAATGGATTTCTAAAACTAGTAAAAAAAATGTATAAGTTGTTAAGTCCTCATACATATATCTTTCTAGTCTCTTGATTGGACAACACTTTTTATCATGCACAAGAGAATAATCTTGTAGCCCGCTTAATTCTTCAGCTCTCTGATGAATTTCAGTATTAGTTCTAGTTTGACTTGTGTTTCAGGTATTAATCATACATTTCTCACTAGTAGTGGATCATTATCCACCCAAATCATCTCACTGTTGGAAGTTTCCCCTTCATATGGTGACACATCTGTTGCAACTGGCTACTTTAACATGAACAACAAAAACAACATATTTGTTGATGATTATTTTTCTTGAAATTGGATCCCATAACTTGAACCCTTCACACATTTTGCATAACCAATGAATATTAAAATTTTCAATTTTTGATCAAGTTTGGATTTATCTTCACTGGATATATGCACATAGATTGGACACCCAAAAAAGTTAGATTTTCATTATCAATGGGGTTACATGTCCATACCTCCTCAGCAAACTTCTCTTCCAAATAAGCAACTAGTGACCATTGATGAGATAACATGTCATGTTAATTGCATTTTCTTAGAAACACTTTAAGAGTCCATCATTCTATCGAAGACATCTCGCTCTTTCAATTAATGACTTGCAAAATGCCTCTGAATACCGTGTTTAAGGCAAAATTTATGAAACATTGAATCAATGTATTATATCTCATTATATGACTGCAAATACTTGATTTTTCTGGCCGTTTTATTCTCTACCTCTAACTTTCACAACTTGAACTTGATAAATACTTTTGCTTCAAGAGATATACCAAAACCTACTAGAAAAGTTATCAATGAAAGTCACAAAATACCTAAAATCACCCATATAGGCCTTTTTAGTACGCCATCACACATACGAAATATAAGCCTTTTTAGTAAGTCATCACACATATGAATGCACATGGTATATGATTCCCTTTGTTTTGTGCTTCTCGATCTTAAACTAAACACAATATTTTTTCTCAAACACAATACATGCACAAACCCATCTTGCAACCAAGGACACCATTTACTAGATTTCTCTTATGAAGTTTTATCATCCAACATTCATTGAGATGACCCATATGCATGTGTCGGAATTTGGTTGCATTATTATTAGGCTCAACTTATGCAACATCACCTACAACACTACTTCCTGTTAATATATAGATGTTACCTGCAATCATCTTTGCTCCAATCATTATCAAGGAATCCATGATGATCTTCATAATGTTCTTATCTTCATTTGAATTGTAGGAGAAACCATTTTTATATATCTCACTTTTGTGTTGCCTTTAGTCCATATTAAAATTCTATTAAAAAATTGATTAGCCTAACCGTACACATGCGTGACAATACTAACTTTATTAACAATGCTGAAGTGACAGGTTTATTTTTTCTTTTTCCATTTTTTTAATACCCGAGATTCCATGGCAGCTTTTATTATTATTGTTTTTTGCTTTCATGTTAAAGCAAACTACAACAAAATCTTTCAAAAATAGCTTCAAAAGGATTTCAAACAATGTACCTTTAAGTTACATCATACACACTTTACCACCAAATCATTTGAGTTGTTTGTTTTATATATATATATATATATATATATATATATATATATATATATATATATATATATATATATATATATATATATATATATATATATATATATATATATATATATATATATATATATATATATATATATATATATATATATATATATATATATATATATATATATATATATATATATATATATATATTACATACTGGACGCATATAATTCTTATTATAAATACTGCATTTATATTTCATATTGCATTTAATATTTATTATATTACTTATTGTAATACTTATTATAATAATTAATATAATGTATTAAATATTAATATATAAACTTATTATTAATGCATTACATATAAATAATACTTATTATAAATATACTTATTATAACTAAACTTATCATAAATAATACTTATTATAAATAATACTCTTTAATAAACTATTTAATATAAAATTATTATAAATAATACTTATTTCAACTATTTAAATAAATATTTTTCACAATATTATTAAATATAATTAAATATTCAATAAACTAATTAATAATTAAAATAGTTGAACTATTAAATAGACTATTTATTTAATAAACTAAATAAACTATTTATTTAATAAACTAAATAATTAATAGTTGAACTATTTAATAAACTATTTAATATATAAATACTGCACTTATTAATAGTTCATAAAATAGTTTATAAACTATTTAATATATAAATATTTTATGAATTATTTAATATATAAGTATTTTAATATATACTATTTTAATAAACTATTTTATGAACTATTTATTAATTAGTAAAATAATTAGTCTTTAAATATTATTTTTATATATAAGTATTTTAAAAGTTGAATTATTAAAATAATTTATAGACTAAACTAGTAAGATAAAAGTAATTTAATTATAATAGTTAAATATTAAAACAGTTTAGTAAATAATATTTAAAGACTAATTATTTACTAATTAATATATGTATTAATAGTTGAAATATTAAATATTAATAATTGAAATATTAAATATTAATAGTTGAAATATTAAATATTTGATAAACTAATAGTTGAAATATTAAATATTAATTGTTGAAATATTAAATATTTGATAAAATAAATGTTGAAATATTAAATATTAAATGTTGAAATATTAAATATTAATAGTTGAAATATTAATAACTATGTTGAATGATTATTAATAACTATGTAATATATAAATTTGTTGCAATGAAATAATGGTCTAGTGGCTAAGAACTATGTTCTTGATGCATAGGTCATGAATTGAATGTGGTGAACCACTTCCCATATGACGTCATGGGGTAAGAGAATGTTGAGTCAAGAACTCACACTTATGTGCACTTATTAGATGAATTAAGATTTTAATTTAACAGAGAAATATTATTCACACACCAAACTTGATACTTACACCGTGTAATTATACGGCTTTGTATTTTTAAGAATATTTAATTATTATCTTTTCTTTGTTTTGATATAAACAAACACCTATCTATGTTGTATTTCGTAAGAGGTAAGTGTATGGTGTATAATTTTTGGTGTCAAAATAGCAACTCTCTTTAACAAATCATGTATAACAAGTATACCCCTAAACCATACCGCGTGGGCTATCCACAACAATAGTGCCAAAGGTAAGTTTGAACTAAACACAAGGATCGATAATAGAGTCATACTCAACCATTTCCACCACTCCATGTCCCTTTTTATGTATATGAATCATACTCATTCCACCACCCCATGTCCCTTTTTTATGTATATGAATCATTTTCGATATAATATTTTGCTATTTTTGGATAAAAAGCAATGAAGGAAGGGCAATGATTCATGATTCAAATTTGCGGAAAAAACTTAAGACACAAATATAACATCTTTAAAAATAATTGATCACAATTTTTTTATTAATTAAAAAATAATAATAAAATATTCTATTTCTTTTATTATTATAACTATTCTATAATTTCAATTTAAAAAATTAAATTTTAAATTTTCTCTCTTCTTATTGATTATTTTTAAAAATAATAATTTAGAATTGTTTTCATACCAATTTTTTTCAAAATTTGCAACGGTTTTGAGTGTGTTTGTTTACATCAAAAAGGACCCTCACCCGGACAATAATGAAAGAAGGAGCCACAACATCTACTAGGATTCACTGTAGTCATGTATGTATGAACCATTCAATGTGCTAATGAATACATCGCAGTACTTAATTTATTTTGCTTAAAAAATAAATAAAAATTGCAAGATGGGGAAAGATAGAGAAAACCGAATGCAATTGAAACATTTTGATCCTCTCCTCCCCCTTTATCTCTCCATATTAATCTCACATTCAATCTCCAAGGATAAGGATTGTATTTTGACTGCCATATAATTGTAACTCATGCTTTGCTAACAAACTCCACATCAAATAAGAGTACAGAATCAGGAGGAATGACACATGAACCTGCATCAAAACCATGTGCAAATATACTTAGCATCACAACCATCCCTATAGAATTTTGTACATTGAAAATTAAGCAAATCATAGACCAAGATACCAGCACTTCATCCTAGAGCGACACTTTTAGCACAATCCAAATTTGATCTTTATTCTCCACATAAATATATTGTCAATTTTTGTTTATAATGAATGCAAAGTAAATAGTATTTTTTAGAATGAAAAGAGAGTACTTGCCTCCTTTACAACCAGCCCCTCTTGAACCATATCCAAGTTCTGGAGGAAGCTTCAATGTACGTTTACCTCCTAATGTAAGAAAATAATAAACAATTTCACCTCAAATGTCATAATTCATAAAACAAAATTACTGAAAAAAAACAAGTACCTGCAAACATAGGAGGAATTCCATCATCTCCTAAAATGCCTACATCCCATCCTTTGATAACCTGATAAAAATCTATTATATATATAATAAAGATTATACAGAAATAAGTTGCGCGATTGCGGCTTTTTGGATAGCAAAATCAATTCTCTTGAAAGAGTGAATAGAATGATGATACCTCTCCAACACCGACGCGAAATGTGAGTGGCTTGCCGCGATTGTAGCTGCTGTCGAAAACTTTTCCATTCTCCAATCTCCCTACATAATGTGCCTAACAATAATAACATAACATGTCTGTCAAACATAGGACAAAGGGGAGAAACAATAGTGACAACAAATGACCAAAAGAATGGTTACTTTTACCTTAATAAGCTGTCCCTTGACAGCCTGAGGACCAGTGCCTACAATTTTATCACAAAAGGAAAGGCCTGAAGGAGCTACTGTTAATTCACATGGAGCTACTTCAGAAGCTGCTGTTGCAATTGGTATTATTGGTGGTAATAAAGAATGAAGAAGGCCAAAACTTATGGAGAGGCCTATTGCGTCTCTTCTCTTGAATTGATTCTCGTTTTGTACAAGAACTGGTGGTGGTTGTGGGACTTTGATAGAACATGTTGTTGTTAGTGAATTGGAATGGTTGCGTTTTTGGGGCTGCAACGAGGTGAGGCAAGTCCCAACTGAATATGGTGCCAGCGAGTTCATCTCGACTGAGTTCAGGATATGGCCACGGGTCTGTCAGTGCGGGTAAGTTAGTAGTAGTATGGATATTGTGGCTCAAATTGTTCCATGTGGTTGACAAGTGGGGTCAAAACAACTTATTATCTAAACAATTTTTTTTTTTATCTCTTGTTATTTTAATAAAAATACGCTATTCTTACACCAAATTTTATATCTACACAAAAATTAATAATTTTTTTTTTATTTTTAAATTTTTAAATTAAATAATATTGATATAAAATTACGTGATTAACCAACTTCATGTCATTATTAACTAACTTTTTCCTTTTCATTAATTAATTTTGGTTTACTATTAAAAATATTTTTAACTCTAAGCGTCTATTAATCAACTTCATTACTTCATTAACCAATTTTTTGTATTTCATTAACCAACTTTATTTCACTATTTTAAACTACTATTCACAGATACGGTTCACGTACACTGTTCACGCACGGTTCATGGGTACTGTTTATCGACTGTTCATATACTGTTTATAAAAATATTTTTTTATTTAAAAAAACATATTGGTGTATGTATTTAGTGTATGATATGGTGTAGGAATAGCAAACCTGTTTTAATAAATATAGGAACCGTACTAGAAAGTTTAGGTAGATACTATAATATTCATCCTCATACATGTAATTTGAAAAAAATATTGTATTTGAATTCATATTCGTTTAGACGTTAAAGTTAACACTTGTATTTGTGTCCTATAATATATAAGTACTCATATCTGTATTCGTTACCCATATTCATATTAAAAATAAATTAACTTATAAAATATCATATTATTTTAAGATTTTAAAAATGTTCAAAAGTTTTCAAAAATATTAATTGTTGAATTAAACGAACATTTATCTTAAATATGTAATGGTTTAACATTGATATACTTTTTAAAATTAATAGACATATATTTTTATATAATGATATAGATTAAAATACATAAATATAAATTTTGTGGGTATGAGCAAATGAGTGCCAAGGTGTTCATACCCGCCCGCACTCATACCTGATTATTTTTGTGGATAATTATCTGAGTACGTGAACGTTCCTATTTTTGTGGATTTTTACCCTATCCATTATGAATAATTTTTCAAATACCCATTAAAAATAGGTCAAATTTTCATCCCTAAATAAATATATCAAAAGTAAAGAAAGAGAAGATTCGTCAAATATTTTCTATCATTGGTTTAGTGCTTGTAAAAATTCCGGTTAGAATGATATTAGGGTGGATAGAAAAACACCATCCGACTACATCCAAATCATAATATTTTTAGTTAATGGTTTGTTTCGAAATGGTGAGTAGTTGCGGCTTTTTAGCTAATGGGTTAGTTTGATTTTACCACAGTTGATTGTATGTGGTAATGAAATGTGTGATAAAATATATGCTACTTTTCATTTCGGATTATTGATTGAGGTGAAAAATTGGATAGCGCGTCACTTTTTACCACTGTTTGAATACTCAATTGTGATAAAAAGTATAATGATTATGGATTTGAATCTCAACAACAATATCTTAGTATTTTAAAAACGGCATGTTTCACTTACTTTTCCTCACGTTGGAACTTTAACTAGGCTGAAAAACATAACTTTCCACTACGGTTGTAACTTTAAACCGAGGTGATTTGTTGAGGGGATCATTTTTCTCCACTATTGAAATATCCAACCGTAGGGAAATACTTTGTTTTTTTAAAAATAAATTTGTTAATTTTACATAATTTCCATTATAACCTGTACTTTTATGAATCAAAATAGATATAGAAACAACAATAAAATATGCCATTTGTGAACCAAAACAAAAAATGACACACATTATGAACCAAAACTATATATTATTACATTAAAATCAAAATATGAAATTAGTATGCACTTGACTCATAAATCTAAAGAAAGCAAGATACACAACATGAATGAACGTCTTTTGGTGTATGATCTTTAAATACCTATAAGTTGAAATAATAACATTTGTTTGCACACATGTAAAAGAAATGATAACAAACAGTAAAATATGAATAAACAAAAAAATTACTTGTTAGTTTTTTCATATACCTTCTCATATTTCCTCTTCAAATTGTTCTCCTTAGCCAAGATTTTCAGAAAACTAACATGCTGCTCAGTGCCTTCCATTTGCGTAGATATACTTTCAGCTTTATTTTCCCCATATTCTTTTGAGATGCAACTCTTTTCTAAAGGACCGCTTTGAAACCCTGCAGCTTGCAAGAGCTAACACTACTTACAAATCTTGAATTTGCAGACTCGGACTTTGATATTACCAATCTCCAGTAGTTAATATCAAGAGACTCAGGAGGGCCTTCACACCAACTAGCAATAAGACCTTTAACACAATAACTAGGAGTTAAGCAAAGATATGGAAGATTCTATTGGGTCTTTTGGGCCAGTTGTTATTGTCCGTTTTAAAAGTTTTGGATCTTCTCTTTGTAAAAAGTAATGTGACATGCCATGAATTGGTAGTTTCTTTGTAACAATGGCCATGCGAAATTTTAAAGTCTTGTGACACTGTTATGGAAAATATGTATTGAAATTAAATCCTTGGAATGAAGAAATGGAAATGACAATGATAGTGCTCTAGTTATTCCATGTGTAGAACCTTTATCTTGTGCTAAATATTTCTTTGTCACTTTGAATTGATATGAATCCTTGTCTTGAATTTAGAAAATAATTGGATGAACCAAAGTCTCGAAATCATGTGAATTTTCAATTTCGTGCTTTGCAAATGACTTTTGGACCTTGTATCCAATCTTTAGCATGAAATCACTTTGAATAGTTCTTGAATTTTTTTAGAATTAATGAACATCCATTTGTGAAAGAATTCGAATCTTGGAATGACATATTGACTTTGAAAATGATTTTTCTTTTTTGTGAAAACATGTGAGGAATTTGAAAAAAAACATTGATGAGATTAAATCTCCTTGGATAAATGTTTGCTTGCACTTGTGACTTGGATACTTGAATGAATTTTCAATGTGAATGAATTCAGATACTAGCATATGAATCCTTATTATGCTCAGTTCTGGATCCAATAAAATTAGACACGTCAAACTTTGATGTCATAGGGGATCCATAAGCCAAATCACATCACTTAGTCACACTTTGAATGATCCTTAATCCTGTATCTAAGCCATTTTACATTCAAAGCAACAAATACTTGAGAAAAGAATCACAATGACTCTGTAACCTCATCCTTTGCACCATGACTGGTATTAAACAAATGGAAGGAATGAGGTCTTGAACATAAGGAATCCTTTGAACGAGTTCTTGAGAAAAGAAACTTGCCATGCAACCCTAGTTCATGCTCTAGAGAATCTTTGAGGAAGATGAATAATAACACCGCTTCAACTATATGATTTCCTAAACCTAATCCTTCTCAGATTACACATTGAAACTTCTGGGAAATTATGAGGAAAATGATCAGTAGGACCTTTTGAATCAGGAACCCTTGGTCATGCCCTGCAATGCTTGACTGCGAGAATCTACATTTGAAAACACTGCACCTACACAAGCTGGTTAGTCATGATAAACACGCACACAAAATTCTATGACCTGAAGATGTTATGCAAGATGATGCACAAAAATGTAAGATCTTAAGGTTAAAAATTAGGGTATGACAATTAGTATAAAACCCAACTCCGGTCACTCGACAAGTTCCCTACATTGTCAAGCAATAATGTTGTCAAGCAAGACCCCAAAATATGCAACAAAAATAATTTGCAAGCAAACATCTTGTTACAAGCAGTTCAAACCGACGAGCATCCAGAATGCCTAACCGAGGAAAATAAGTACTTGGCAAACAAATCATACAGGCAAGCAAAGGCATACACGAGCATGTCAAAAGAGTGAAGTGCGATTAAAATAACAGCCACGAAGGCCGAGGATGTCACAATATTACAACAAAAAAATGGGCAAAGCCCATTATCCAAATTTTACAAAATCACAACGCGCAGGCCCAAATAAGTACAAACAAAACAAACAAAGTTAAACATTGTGCTCTCCCTTACTGTTGAGCTATTCCTCTTCCTCATCATCCTCTGAGGAATATCCGGGAGGACCGACTATCTGACCATCAACCACCTTGTACAGGAACTCGGTCTCCTTAATGACGAGCTCGACTCCAGAGTTCACGATTTGGATCTGAGCCATGCATTTTAAAAGCTCATCTCGACAGCATCCACATAATCCTGCTCGAGGCTCCTAATCTTGGAAACCAGCTCGGAACGGGTAAGCAAGGCTTTCACATCGGCAACCTCATCCTCGGTGGGGGCCACAACAGCTTCCAAGGCAGAAATATTATCCTCAAAGCTCTTCTTCTCGGTAGCATGCTCAAGCGTCAAAGCAGTCATATCCGTAGTTAACTTGGTCAGTTCCTCTTTCTTCCCACGCAGCTCAGTAACAATCTCACTCTGGATCTTATACTTCCTCTTATATTCGTCAAAAGCGGTCTCCAGCCTGAGTGTAACACCCCGTTCCCCAAAATAAAATAAATGCAATTAAAATAAACAATTATCAGAGTTTCACACCACAAAGCGGGATGTCACAGAAGAAACCGGCAAAACATTTTCATTAAATGAGATCAACAAGAATAAACAACGGAAAATCTGTCATCATATATATATATATATATATATATATATATATATATATATATATATATATATATATATATATATATATATATATATATATATATATATATATATATATATATATATATATATATATATATATATATATATATATATATATATATATATATATATATATATATATATATCATCATATACATGTCATATACATCAACCTCGGCCAACTGCCCAAAATACACCAGACATATATTCACAAAAAGAACTCATCAAAATATGATACGCCACAGGGGCACACAAAATCATCAGATGAACATAAAACTCCCCAAAGCCCCGGTGTTACGTATCAGAGCATCCCTACGACTCGCCACAATCCAAGCTAGCTA